CAATAAACTCTATACATATATTTTTGGGTCAGTGTGGCTGAGTTGTAGACGATGGAGAAAACATGTAAATGTACTTTAGCAAAAAAAAAAAAAAAATTTGTAAATGTGCACACTTTATGAATCGTTGATATATGTTTTTATGTTATATGAAAGTCAATGTTCCTTCTAGATTACATTATATGTAATAACAATAGTTCCTAATAATATAATAAAGACAAATTATGCTGTAAAAAAAAAACAATACTAAAGGTGTATGAGATACTAGTCCAACCACCTTTACCCATTTCTACCCACCAAGAAACCCTAATGACAGCATGGATTCTTCTTCATTCCTTTGACCCTTAGTCCATTGACACTTGTCTTTCTCCACATCTCACTAGTCTATCATTTACAAGCTATTATCAAACACACACAAATATCATCTATCTAGCGTAAAATTGGTTTTAGACATATTTTCCTAGTGCCGAAAAAAAAGAAAAAGAACAGATTATTGTTCAAGTTATTTAAACAAAATTCATTAGAGCCTAAGATTCAATATAAATTTCTTATTCTTAGCCTCTTGAGCTATGAAAGCATTTTCATCGAAATTTGGGTACGGGGTACGTGAAGTTTCAAAGAATCTACTTGGTACGCTTACCGAAGTTTCAAAGAATCTAGTTGATGATATGATGTGGTCTAGAATTGTTTAGGTTGTAATAATTTGACCCGAAAAAATAGCTGGGAACATCAATTTACGTCGGTCATATCATTGACTAACCAAAATAAAATTAAAAAGGTAAGATCGGATTTTGCTAATTTAATTAGTTTTTTTTGTCAACATTAGGTGTAATGTTTTTTCTTATGACCACCTAGGATTCTTTTTCTTTATTTGTATGAAATTCATAGATAAAAAAGTTAGTCAAAAACTAAATTCAATGGAATAAATATTTTGTTACTAAATTTTTATTTTTTTTATTTATTTTTTTGTTACAAAATTTAAATTTAACCATCGTAAAACACATGTCTAAACCCAGTCAAAATCTTAACTGCACAGAACCCATTAAGCAATTTGGACAGTTTTGCCCCATAATGTCTTTCCTTCATTAGAACTGACAATTTCAATTGCAGATCTTATCGCAGTTCATACCTTCGATCAATAGAATTCGTTCCGGCTGGTCCGAACTTAAAATTCGTCGGATCACCATGGCTGAATAAGTGTCCATGGATGACACACTCTAACTCAGCTAAACCCATTAGCACCTGAATATTTTGCTACTCCTTCTGTCAAACAATATGCGATCGTCCACACCAGTTTGTCACCGCTACTGATAGTGATACCACGAAGACGGCTACTTCGATCAAACTAAGAAAACAAATTGAAATTATTTCATATTGGTAACGATGTTTGCTACAAGAAATATTCTCAGATTTGCCTCGATCGTCTTAATACGACGATCAGTTACTATAGTTTATTTACGATTGTAAATTCGTCATATATGCTGATTTATCTTACCTGTATATGCATAAGACTACATCTAAATGATGAACATTGATTAGTTCATTATATTATTTTCTTAGGTTTGGGACTAAGTATTGATGAGCATTGATAGTTCCCTCTACTCAAATACAACACCATACTTAAAACCCGATCCAATTAATAAACCCATATAAACTTTTTTCATTACATGCTTAAAAGTAATGTATCCATAATAGAACATATAGTTAATAATTACTGATAATAATCAAAATATATTATTTTAGTATAGCCATAGAACCTTCTTGGCTACGTGACCTTTTTGGCTTGATTAGTTAATAAGGCCAAGATTAATTAAGAAATAGTTAATGAAATTACCATATGATGAGTGGTTAATAAAATCTTACCAACCCACAGAAATATGTGTATCCATACATGAAATGATATAGCCATACTTAACGTAAAAATTGGTTTGGAGCATTTTCCAGACCAGAGTTTGGTATTGTATATATATAGAATCAATGTCAATCCTACCATTAGAACAACTTTCAAGTGATTCACTTGCTCTTCTTACTTTTCATTCTTGTTCTCTTCCTCCTTTTTCAGCTTTTTAGAATCACACAATCCTAATTTTTCTTTCTATGAGAAGTTACATTTATTCGAATAAACCCAATATTGAATACTATTATAACTGAACTGTGCATTTGTGTCCAGTTACTATAAAACTACTTTGAACTGGTCATACCCTGCAATTTGCATATTATTTAAACTAATTAGAGGGTGATATTAATAAAAAGAGAAAACGTTAAGCCAACGGTAAGAAGACGAAACTCCACCTTATTGTTTAATTCAAAATTATGCAATTGGAGTTCACGATAAATTTTATTTTAAAAGTGGTGAAACATGAAATTCCGTATGTGTAAGGTCAAATTCTTTTTGTCAATATGAACGGGGGGAAATAGTCTTCAACGTTCAACCTAATCATTTTAAAAGTATATACCGATCTGATATATAAACTTGGGGGAAAAAAATGAAAAAAAAATATAATTGGAATATTTTTTTGGAGTAAAATTGGAATTATAAGTTGAAAGAATTACTCTATTTTACAGTAAAAACTAGATTTTACCCGATACATCCGCACAAAATTTTTTTTTTTAATAAATTTGTAATGTAATTTATTTATATTTTTTTATACATATAATTTTTTGTAATAAGTGATAAAGATTTTTTTTGTTTAGATATATTTTTAAAAAATTGTTTTAGTATTATTATGACCATGATCATAAAAACATAATTTTAACACAATCATTCTTTAATAAAAAAATAACTGCTATTATAAAAACATATTTCTAACTCGCTCATTATATTAATCTGAAAATGATTGTGGTTATGAAATAATAATTCTAACCCGCCTATTCATATAGCCATATAATATAAATATTTATTAATTTTGATATAATTTTGTTCTTAATATATTGCATGTTTTCATAATCTAACCCGCATAAGATTATAATTAGAAGAAAAAAAAAACAACCCCATCAAATTACCATATAATATTAATATTTATCATTTTTCAATATGTGAAATTTTAATCTGATTGAATATGATTAAAAAATATAATAAGATATTTTTTAATCATATGTGTTATTATAAAATATAATATGATTAAATTAAATCTAACCTATATTTAAAGGAATTTAAAGTAATTTAAATTAATATCTATTTTAAAGAATTTAATTAATTACAAAAATAAATAATTTGAATTTTAAATTAAATATAAGCTATATTTAAGGAATCGTAGTTATCTAAATTAATATCAAACTTTTAAAATTAAATTTATATATAAAATAAAATAATTAAAAAAAAACTTTGGGAATGTTTGGAAGCAAACACTAAAAATGCTTCTGTTTTAATATAATATATAGAAGTGCAGTAATGGTTGGAGGCATTAATAAATCAAACTCAAATTTGATTGTTGATTATAATATTTATGAGGTGTAGGGTTGGAATTATTATCCGGTATCCGGTATCCAGTATCCGATCCGGTATCCGATCCTATCCGATCCGTAAAAACTGAATATCCGTGTAGTTCAGATCCGAATCCGGATAGTGAAATTAAGTATTCGTTTATTTCGGATACGGATCCGGATAATAAAAATTTTTGAAACCGGATATCCGTTATCCGTTTGTTAAATATTTAATTATTTTTAATAATATTTATTCATTTTTTAAAATTAACTTTAGAATTGTTTTTGGTTTAACTCCTTTACATATGATTGAAATTCATATTGTGTAATAGTTTTTTATTTTAAATTGTGAGATAAGAACATAAAAACGGATAGCATATGGAAATGAAGATAAATTAACTTCTCTATTACTATTTTCTCTTTTGTTATGTAAACTTTTAAACTTTATGCTATTTGAATGTTACTTGAATGTTTTTTAGTTTTTGTTATTTGTAACTTGCTATGATGATACATTTTAATTATCTATGTTATTTTATTTTAATTTTTAAAAATTAAATTTTTTTTTTAAATCAACGAAACCGGATATCCGGTCGGATATCCGTAAATATTCGGTTCAAACCGAATATCCTGTCTCCGGATCCGGATAGTAAAACTGATTATCCGGTGGATCCGGATCCGGATCCGGATACCTTGAAAAATCTGGATATCCGGCTCCGTTCCAGGCCTAGGTGGAATTATTATCTGGTATCCGGTATCTGGTATCCGATCCGGTATCCGATCCTATCCGATCCGTAAAAACCGAATATCCGTGTAGTTCGGATCCAAATCCGGATAGTGAAATTAAGTATTCGTTTATTTCAGATACGAATCCGGATAATAGAAAATTTTGAAACCGGATATCCGTTATCCGTTTGTTAAATATTTATTTATTTTTAATAATATTTATTCATTTTTTAAAATTAACTTTAGAATTGTTTTTGGTTTAACTCCTTTACATATGATCGAAATTCATATTGTGTGATAATTTTCTATTTTAAATTGTGAGATAAGAACATAAAAACGGATAGCATATGGAAATGAAGATAAATTAACTTCTCAATTACTATTTTCTCGTCTGTTATGTAAACTTTTAAATTTTATGTTATTTGAATGTTACTTGAATGTTTTTTAGTTTTTGTTATTTGTAACTTGCTATGATGATACATTTTAATTATTTATGTTATTTTATTTTAATTTTTAAAAATTAAAGATTTTTTTTAAATCAACGAAACCGAATATCCGGTCGGATATCCGTAAATATTCGATTCAAACCAAATATCCGGTCTCCGGATATCCGGAGTTTTCGGATCCGGATCCGGATAGTAAAACTGATTATCCGGTGGATCTGAATCCGGATCTGGATACCTTGGATATCCGGCTCCGTTCCAGGGTAATGAGGTGTATATATTTGAAAATCCAAATTAGATGCATACAGTATTTAAATTCAATTGTGCTAGTTCGTTCATAAATTAACCCATTTGTTGTGAAGCCCATTATAGAGAATTAAAGGCCCAATAAGACCACAAAACCATAAAACTACCGAATCAAAAGCTAATTGCAGGAGAAAGGAACAACAAAACAAATAAATCAATGGGGAGGAAGAAGGGATTGCCGGAGTTCGAAGAGACGGCGCCGGATGGCTTCGATCCGGAGAACCCGTACAAGGATCCGGTGGCGATGGTGGAGATGAGAGAACACATAGTTCGTGAGAAGTGGATCCATATCGAAAAGGCTAAGATCTTGCGCGAGAAGGTCAAATGGTGTTACCGCGTCGAAGGCGTTAACCATTACCAGAAGTGTCGCCACCTCGTCCAGCAGTATCTCGACGCTACTCGCGGCGTCGGATGGGGCAAAGACCACCGTCCTATCTCTCTCCACGGTTAGCTTTTTTTTTCTCCGACCTTCTTTGAATATCAGGTGGTAAATTGCTTAATCGAGAATCCTTAGGGGTTTTTGTTTTTTCTTAATCGAATAGTGTTACGATGAATTGGTCTTCTTATCTGTGAAATTTGAGCTCAATTAATGCTTAGTGTCTTGAGTGTTGAATGCAATGTGGAGATTGATCTTCTTTTGCTTGATGTCAATTGAAATTTTTCTGGTTTATTGGTTTTTTTTCAAACCAGGTCCTAAACCGGAGGCTGTTGAAGCTGAATAATGTTTGTGCCCCTTCTGATTGATCTTCGGTAAGTAGCTGTTGTTAAGATCTGGTTTGTATTGCTAGAAGCACTTGAATCAATTGTAGATTTCTTGTTAATAAACTGAAGAAGAAGAAGAAGAGAATTAGACATTTTAGAATTTCTTGTTTTTGAGTATTTTACTAGTTTTTCAAGAGAAAGGAATGTCTTTTAACTGGACCTGTTATATGAATCGGTTTGTTGAGTAGATAAAAACCTGAACTGTTGAATATGAATTGATCATATTTTTAGAGTGGCTTAGCTTTGGGGAAAATGGAGACGCATGTGGATGATTGTTGATATCGATCCGGTTGCAATCACGGAGCTTAAAATTAGTCATATTTGAATTTTCTTTGGTGATTTAAGGGATGGGACATGTTTTGGACTGTAATAAATGAATTGATAGATCTTGGTGTGATTCTCAGTTTTTGGAACACTTGGGGACATATTGTTGGTTATAGATACCAATCCGGTTCGCATTCGTGTCCATCTTTACTCTGCAATAGAGTTAAACCTAGTCACGGATTTTCATTGATGAATTGAAGAGATGGGACATGTTTTGGACTGGATTGGGTTTCAAGCATTTTGATTTTTGATTGGTGAGAACTTGTACAAAAAAGTTTCACTAGGATTATGGCCTATTCTCAAATTCTCTCAATTCAAATTTGGATTGATGATTTTTTAGTTGGTTCAGAGATTTTAAAAATTTCTTCTTGCTCAAATGAAACAGGTCAGTGAGAGAGCTTTGATTATACCGGACATAAATGGAGTCTCTGTCGCAAGTTAATGGCTCTCCATGAAGGTTCTTGCTTGATTTATGCATTTTTGTTTCCGCTAAACAAATTTGCTAATTGGACTAATTGCTTCCAATTAGTTAAGCTTAGCCTCGGGGGTTTTAAATAATTTCCAATGTACATTGAGTCCCGGTTTCTCGAAATAATGAAATTCTAAACTACCTTTTACTAAGCCAATGTAGCCTCTTCGATCTTATTTTGATTTATGACTTGTTTGTTACGTGTGTTTATGCTTGCAAAATAAATCTTTAGTGAGACCGTATCTTATGAAACTATAAGAGTTAATTATGTTCACCAAGAGTAATTGTAAAAGAGTCCTGCATGCTTTACCTTCATTTATAGATTAGATTTCCACAAAACATCTTTAGTTTTGTCTCTAATGAAAAAAAAAACTTCTAAATATTTTATTAAAATTTTGTAGTTCAAACTTTAATGGAAACTGTTACCATATGTTAAATAGTGATAAAGACTGGTAAGGAGCAGTGGACCACAGACAAAAATGAGTCAGAAAACAAAAGACAAACAAACAAAAAGATAAAACTTAGAGAATGGGTAAGAAAAAGAACCCATAAAATACCCAAAAACATAATCCAACTCTGACCAATAAGATTGCAAAGATATGGATCGAATTCGGTATATGAAGCCAAAATCATCAGTACTGTGCCTTTTCCGTTTCTATAAACCAACAAAAATGGATATGGCCACACTTCAATAATACACCAAGTCTTTTACCTCTTCAATTTCACTAGCTTTAACCTAAACTCTCTATATTCTAATTAATCACGCTCAAGATTAGTCTGCTCTCTGTAAGATTCAAGAATACTAAGACATATAGAACAAGATACAAATACTTCTCCTAAAAGTCATATCTCCAATCTCCTTACTGACTTAAGAATGAAGTGTCAGTAAAAAATCTTGGAGATTGAAATGTCTTTGTCTAATCCTAGAGAGAAAGATTATTATATAACCTAAGAACAATCCTTTGTCAGTGCCCATTATTCTCCATCCTTCTTAGCCCTTGTCTTCTTCATTGTCCCCTTTTTCTCTCTCACTTTAAGGTCTTTTCTTAGCTCATGAAAGGTCACCAAAATATCAAATTCCAGAGAAGTATAAAACCGTTACTGTTTTGTATTCTTTGCCAAGTCTCTACTTCTGATTTGATTTCTTCTCTCTAACTCTGTTTCATGTTTTGGCGCAGAAATTATGATTTCAGAGCACCAAGAAGATGTCAAGGCACAACGAGACTGCGAACTGTGTCTGAACAAACACGCGGTTTGGTTTTGTGCGTCCGACGATGCTTTCTTGTGCCATCTTTGTGATGAATCAGTGCATTCTGCAAACCAAGTGGCGACAAAACACGAGAGAGTTTGTCTTAGAACAAATGAGATATCAATTCGTGTGCTCCAAGGAACAACATCAAAGCCGGTTTGGCACAGCGGGTTCAGAAGAAAAGCGAGAACACCTAGAGCTCGTTGTGAGAAGAAACCACAAGAAAATATAGATGATGAGAGAAGAAGAGAAGACCCTCGTGTTCCCGAGATTGGTGGCCAACGAATGTTTTTCATACCAGAAACAAATGATGATGATGGTGATGAGGATCTGACTTCTCTTGTGCCAGAGTTTCACGGATTCATAGAGATGGAGTTCTTCTTGAGCAACTATGATGGCTCTGAAGAAACAACGAGACCATTCAACTTTGAAGATGAGATTGATGCAATGGAAGATCTATGTTACAATGAAGATGGAGAGGCTAAAACTGATGGAGATAAAGCATGTCCTGACCAATCTTTGATGAGCTCCAAGAACAATGTCATCGCGATTACAACAAAGAAAGAAGAAATGGAGGATTATGAGAGTAATGCAAAGCAGATGAACATGTTACTTAGGCTTAATTACGAAAATGTTATAGCAGCTTGGGATAAACAAGAATCTCCAAGAGGAGCACCAATAAACGAAACTGAGTTTAACAACATAAGTACCTTCCAGCTAGTTCCTCCAGTAAGCTTCTTCCTTATCTCATCTTGTTTTGTCATAAGTTGTTACAAAGATATGTTAACATATAGTTTCAAATTGAGAAAATTTACCATATATGGATCTTGATTGCAGGGGACAGAGGAGAAGAAAATGAGCAGCAAAAGTGAGAGAGAAGCAAGAGTTTGGAGATACAGAGATAAAAGGAAGAATCGTTTGTTCGAGAAGAAGATAAGGTATGAGGTTAGAAAGGTTAACGCAGACAAAAGACCGAGAATGAAAGGTCGGTTTGTCCGGAGGTCTTTAGCCAGCGAGACCTAAGAATAGATTCTCAGATTCTACTTTGTGAGAATTCTTGTTAAATAAAAGGACAGCTGCAAAGGTAGACCATAAACTATGAAATTCAGAATTTTCATTTTCGAACGAACTTGAATCATACAAAAGGAATAAAGAAACTATCTAGAGTTAGGTTGATTTTGGAATTGGGTGAATCAGTTTGGTTTGAATTTCAGATAATACAACAGAAACCCTAACTGCAAAAATCGTAAAGAAATTGGACAATGTAACGAACGTTTGAAATGTTGTAACGATCGTTTATGAAAATTTTAAAAAATTATAGACGGTAGATCTAGTCGTTCGCTTTCAAATTCCATGAAATCGTTTGAAGCGAGCAGAAAAAGAAGGAAATAAATAAAAATACGAATGTAGAAAGAAAGAGGGATCAAAGAGATTTAATGTAAATATTAACGTAACTTGAATAACAAGGTAACCATTTCCTCAACAAAAAAAAAGGGTACGCACTTAGATACTAATTTTCAAGATTATTTAGCAAACAGTATTGGCAAATTATCTGACAAGAATTATAGAATTTTTTGTCATATATATCAAAAAAAGCAAAATAAGCAAGTAGTTGGATACTAATTTCCGAGATTCCTTAACAACAATTAACAAAGCATGTGACAAGGATTATCATCCACAAGGATTCAAAGATGAATAGTAAACTAGTATAAGGTTTTCTTGTAGTTAAAGGTAAACGGTTTTTTGAGGGGTAAGTTATAGTGGCAGAGACATTTTTAGATGATATATAATTTCCTTAATATGATATTTAGTTACAAAAAATTCACCAGACCTTGTAAACGTAGTGACTTGTCCGTGACAAAAAAATAAATAATACTCATAATAAAAAATTATTTATAAACTCATATCCAATCCGTGGCACCATAATTAAACCAACTATCAACATCAGCCTCTGCTAAACATCCAAAATCATCCTCTAAAAAATCTTCAAGCTGGTGATTATCCGTCACTGGATCACACTCAAGTTCAAACCAAAAATCAGTTGATCCGTCGACATTATTTGCAATGGTTGATTCAATTTCCGAGTTTTTGACAGCTTTTTCGTCATTATTCTTCTTACTCGTTTTAATACTACCCTTATCCTTCACCACAAAATCGAACTTAAAATCATCAAAAATCGAATTCAATTCCTCTGTATTAATATCATCCACCCACAAACCATTTGGTTCAAAAGCCGGATCTCCAAATATATCCGAAATCGACGGTGTCATTACCTGATCTTCCAACATTCTACCAATTGTTCCATCTTCTTCTTCATCATCATCACAACCAAAACCGAATGTTTTGTAACCCACAGCAATTCCCCTATTTACCGTTTTGCCATTTGACTTAGTATCATTGGATGGTCTGGTTGAGTCTACTTCCTTCTCTTCAGGTTTACTTGAGCCACAAGGCTTGATCAAATCTACTACTTCCTTCTCTTTCAGTTTACTTGAACCGCACGCTTCCTCTTTAATCAAACCGGTTTGGTTCGCTAGACCTAATTGTTCTTCAAACTCAATCTTGCTTTTCTGGTAAGCCTCTGCTGCTTCTTCAACAGTAGTAAACGTTCCAAGCCACTTTCTCTTCTTTTGAAACGGATCTCTTATCTCCGCCGCGAATTTCCCCCACGGTCGCCGTCGTACACCTTTGAATCCCGACACAGGTTTCCGGTTCCCGGTTACTTTTCCTGAACTGGAGTTCGGCTCGTACCGTTCGATCAGCGTGGGGACACAGATCTTTGAGACATAACGCTTCTGCGGTTTTGGTTTGATCGGACGGCGAGGATTAATGCCGGAGATTGATTCATCTTCACTAGAGGATTCGGTGGCGTATGGATCATTGAAGATTACACGGACTGTTTTCAACGACCTGAGATCGATGTTTTTCTCTTCTTTGCCACTGATCATTGTTTCTTTTGTTTGCAACATTCCGGCAGAAAAATCTTACACAAGAAAAATATAAAAAAAAATGTATAAAAAGCAAAACCTCTGTTTCGAGAAACATTGGAGAAAAACTTGAAACGGAAAACATAGTTATGATTCATCATCTTTACCTTATGAATTGATTTGCCAGAAACAAAGTTGTGATGAATAATGAAGTTGAATCGAATTTATCTTCTTGTTTGAATCAAAGTTGGTATACAGGATTTTTTTTTTTTTTTTTTTGGGGTAGTATATTAAAGAGGTAAGGAAGAATAACTTTCTGTTCGTTTTAATTTTATTTTCATATTTTTTTTCCTTATTAGATAAAGTTTGGAAAGTAAAATCTTTTGTAAAAATAAAAAGAAATCGGGGACATCGCTTATTGCCTTAACAATATTTTTTTTTACTGATTTCCGTTTTTCCCTCCATCAATTTTCAAACTTTTTAGAAAGAAAATAGTAGCGTTGCGTGTGTAAAAAGGAAACCAATTAATTTGCTTTTTCGTAAAAGGAAACTCATCATCTACGTACATATTACTTATTACTTAACCTAGCGGTGTTTTTGTAAGTCGTATTATTGTATATATTCTCCTCTCTTCTTACAAAATCATCATTTACGGATTTTGGTTTCCTTCTAAACCTATAGAGAAATAAACTTTCTTAACGACATGGAATAATAAGGAAGAAGCTAGAAGAGCAATGGATATTGCAGAGAGGATACTATTAGAGAACAATTGGGGCGAAGAAATTCGTTACCAAGGCTAAGAATTTGTATCCTAAGCTCGATGGTTTGAGACAAAGTCTTGATGATGATAAATGTTTATATCTCTTCATCAAACAAGAACCACAGAGGAGGAGGAAGAATCTAATTGGTATGGAATAATCAGTGTAGATACTTTAGCTGATTATGAAACAGTGAAGAAACATTACAAGAAGTTAGCTTTTTTGCTTCATCGTGACAAAAATAAGTTTAAAGGCGCGGGATGCGCCTTCAGCTTGGTGTAGATGCTTTTTTGGTGCCTATTATCTGATCATTCTAAGCGAATCGCGTATGTTCAAAAATCGAAAAATCGCATAGACCCTCGCACCAATGTAAACAGGGAATAGTCTGGTTTTTTCTGAGTAAAACCATAACCTCGTAAAGCCGCCGTCAGTTTAGAAAACCAGCATCTCGGCGCCTGTCGAAGTCCATATAAAGACTTTCTAAGTCTACACACCTTCGACTTGTCCTTGGATTCAAACCCTCGAGGCATCTTCATATAAACTTCTTCATGAAGGTCACCATGAAGAAAGGCATTGTGTACGTTCATCTGGTGAACTTCCCATTCCTTAACCGCAGCCACTTTCAAAAACATCCGAACCGTAGTCATCTTTACCACTGGAGCAAATGTCTCATCATAGTCTAGCCCCTCTTCCTGTCGATTACCATAAGCCACCGGTCTCGCTTTATAACGCTCCACTAGTCCATTTGATCGATACTTGATCGTAAAAACCCATCGACATCCGATTGCTTTCTTATTTGGGGGAAGGTCTGTAACGTCCCAAGTGTGATTAGCTTCCAATGCTTTAACCTTCATTGTTTCAGCATTCCTCCACCTCTTATCTTTCATTGCTTCTTTAAATGATGTTGGTGCCTCACCTACCGTAATCGCTGCAAGAAATGCTCGGTGCGATGGAGAAAAATTATCACAATTCACATAATGTGCAATTGGATATTGGACCATACCTTGTGGAGAGGATGATGATGGAGGGTGCGCGGGTGAGAGTGTGGGAGTGTCTGTGATACGATCCAAGGTGATCTACTCTGAAGCAAAGAACAATGGATGCGGCGATATGGTGGATAGACTGAAACGATGAAGCGAAAAGGATGGTGGTAGTGATACGAGGATGGCTCGCGACGATGAGAGATGATGGTGGAGACTCGGCAGATCGAATCGTGGATGTGCGATGGTGGTGTGGCGGATCGATGGAGATGATGGTGGCTCGGCGGATCGATGGTGATGATGGTGGCTCGGCGGATCGATGGTGATGATGGTGAGATGATAAGATAGAAGAATCTCTTGTAAACAGATTAGTTTTTAAGAGATTCGAATTTCAGAGTTTTTAGTTCTCAGAAATCAAAAGAGAGAAGAACACGTTAAAAGTTTGATCAAAATTCTTCACTGACTATGACATAGGCGATTTTCTCTACTTTATAGAGTAAGAGAGAAAATCGCAGCCCTAATAACAAACTACACGAAGTCTGAAAAAAAAAAAACAACACGAAGTTTGATTTAAAAATAAAACAGCGAGGCGTCCCTAAATTCCTAAGTGGTGCGCCAAAATACTAAGTGCACAAGTCATTGTGACTTTGCACATTATTACCCATTAGTAACAACTTCTAAGTAACTCGACGTAGCAATGATTTCTGCCTCGTTAAAAACCTTGGAGAAGAACCTCCTTGCCTTCCAAAATCCTCACCAAGGAAAAGAGTACAGAATCATCACCTAAGTTACCTAGTCATTGTTACTGGGTTCTTCATTCTTCAAGATAGAGATGTTGAAGATGTGAGCTCCAGCCTCCTGGTGATCGCTGTCCTCCGTGGCAATGAGTGCGTGAGCCTCCTTAGCCATCTCTCTAGCTCTGGAACGAGTGATCCTGCCAGCTACCTCTGGTTCCTCCTCCTCTGAGCTGGTCACGATCATATCATCCTCTCCCTCTTGAAAAGGATTTGCCCTCAAATCTGAATCTGCAACAAAAGGAAGCAAGTCAGAAACATTGAAAGTATCAGAAACATCATACTTACCTTGAAGATCAATCTGATAGGCGTTGTTGTTGATTCTTTTGATGACTGCGAATGGTCCATCAACTCTGGGCATTAGCTTGTTCTTTCGCTCAGCTGGAAATCGCTCCTTCCTCAGATGGATCCACACCAGATCTCCTTCTTCTAAAATCAGTTCCTTTCGCCCTTTGTTGGCATGTTTCTCATACTGCTTTGTCTTCTTCTCGATGTTCTCCTTAGCCTTAGCATGTATTCTGCGGACCTGTTCAGCTTTCTCCTTGCCATTCAAGCTGCATTTTCCACTTAAAGGCAAAGGGATCAAGTCTAGAGGTGATTGTGGATTAAACCCATATACAATTTCAAAAGGAGAAAAGAGAGTAGCGGAATGCTTAGCGTGATTGTAAGCAAACTCGACATGAGGCAGACACTCTTCCCAAGTCTTGAGGTTACTTTTCACCAAAGTCCTTAGAAGTGTGGACAACGTTCTATTCACCACCTCGGTTTGTCCATCGGTCTGAGGATGACACGTAGTTGAGAATGAGAGCTTTGTTCCCAGCTTAGCCCAAAGCGTTCGCCAAAAGTGTCCTAAGAACTTCGTGTCTCGATCTGAAACGATAACCTGTGGCATTCCATGCAGTCGTACTACTTCCCTGAAAAACAAGTTAGCTACATTCACAGCATCATCTGTCTTGTGGCTAGCGATGAAGTGAGCCATCTTGCTAAACCTGTCAACAACTACAAAAATAGAATCTCTACCATTTCTGGTGCGAGGTAAGCCAACTACAAAATCCATAGAGATATTAGTCCAAGGTTGAGAAGGAATAGGCAAAGGAGTATACAAACCGTGAGGTTGAACTTTACTCTTAGCCATCTTACATACGACACATCTAGAGCAGATTTTCTCAACGTCCTTCTTCATGTTCGGCCAGTAGAAGTGCTCTTGTAGTCCAAGAAGTGTCTTTGTAACACCAAAATGTCCAGCTAATCCACCTCCATGAGCTTCTCGTACCAATAATTCTCGAATGGATCCTCGTGGTATGCACAATCGGTTACTGAAGAACAAGTATCCATCCTGTCTATAAAATTTCTCACAGGCAAACTTATGACATTTGGCATAACTCTCAGAAAAGTCAGTATCAGATTCATAAAGATCTATAATATGCTCAAATCCAATCAACTTTGATGTTAAAGTCGAAACAAGAGTGTACCTCCGGGATAATGCGTCTGCGACCACATTATCTTTACCTTTTTTGTACTTAACAATGTAGGGGAATGTCTCAATGAACTCCATCCATCGCCCATGTCTTTTGTTAAGCTTCTGCTGACCCTTGAGGTGCTTTAAGGACTCGTGATCGGTATGAATGACGAATTCCTTAGGCCATAGGTAATGCTGCCACGTCTGGAGAGCTCGAACCAATGCGTATAACTCCTTATCATACGTGGGATAATTCAGCGTCGATCCTCCTAACTTTTCGCTGAAGTAAGCGACGGGCTTCTTATCCTGCATAAGAACTGCTCCAATACCTACACCAGAAGCATCACATTCAATCTCAAAAGTCTTAGTAAAATCAGGAAGTACTAGTAAGGGCGAATTGATAAGCTTCTCTTTAAGGGCTGTAAAAGCCTGTTCTTGCGCCTCTCCCCACTTGAACCCCACGTCTTTCTTGATTACTTCGGTTAAAGGCGCGGCTATGGTGCTGAAATCACGAACAAAACGCCTGTAGAATCCTGCTAAGCCATGGAAACTTCGGACTTCTCCAATATTCTTGGGGGTTGGCCACTCCTTGATAGCTTTTATCTTCTCTTCATCTACTTTAACTCCTCCTGCACTTACTACAAAGCCTAAGAAAACAATCTCGTTAGTGCAGAATGAACATTTAGATAAATTAGCAAAGAGAGATTGAGAGCGAAGAACATCAAGAACCGATCTGATGTGATCTAGATGTTCTTCCAAACCTTTACTGTAGATGAGGATATCGTCAAAATAAACCACTACGAACACGCCAATGAATGGTCTCAGGGCATGGTTCATTAGTCTCATGAAGGTGCTGGGAGCATTGGTGAGGCCAAACGGCATAACTAGCCACTCGTAGAGTCCCTGCTTTGTCTTGAATGCCGTCTTCCACTCATCCCCTTCCTTCATTCTGATCTGATGATATCCACTCTTCAAGTCGATCTTAGAGAAGATTGTCGACCCACAGAGCTCATCCAGCATATCATCTAGC